TGAATTTAAGAAAATGCTTGATAAGTGTATGAATGGTAAGAGCTAGAGCTTTAAGATTTTTTAAAAAAGATTTTTATTTAGCTTAGAGGGTGGAACAGGCGAGATGTTCTCCGAAAACTATATGTTATGTTATATGTATGCCAAGTAACCGTTACACAGAGAGTGCAGAAAATATATCACGTGACAAAAAACCGTTAGTTAGGTGCACGTCTTTAATTAGACAATATGTATACAGCGCCTTATAATAAAGCTCTCACTAAAATATTACACAAATACGGCATCATAACATAAGTCATCGATATTACAAATCGAAAGCACTAGTGACTAGGCCATGCTACCCCCCCCCCCCAGAAACTCCTGTAGTGTTGTATAATTACTTATATCTATATATCTTGCTTATTGTTTGCCATATATATAAGAATTTTTAAGAGATAATTGCCTGAAACATTTCATAAATCATTATTTTCTCAGATTCTAAGAATTATTAACTGAAATAAGTATTCATGTATTTTTATTTAAATTTGCAAATTCATACGCACCAATTAAGATTTTTGAATTATAAATTTGAATTATAGATTTTATTGCAATCATATTTCTCACAACGCTTATTTAATTGCACACTTTGTAAGGCTGAAACAAAGTTGATATATAATGTGTCCCCTATATTTACACTTGACAGCATTCTATAGGGGGAGCGTTTTGCCTTTGGCAGTGAAATTTTGTTTGCATTTTTCTGTTCATCTTTCAGTACATATTTTACGTTCATTAAATAACTTGTTCAGTATACAAAGTACTCCCTGTTACACGTATTAAATGTTTTTTATTGATTTTTAATTGAGGCCACATTTAAAACTTGATGTCATCAAGCCATTCACATCGAGTTGGTTGCATTTTATAATAGAACAGAACATTTTTAACTTCTAAATATTAATGGTAATACCAATATATGTATTTCAAAAACTAGCTCACTCAGTGGCACAGCAGCACCTCTGTGGACTTACAACACTAAAAAACGGGTTTCGATACCCGTGGTGGTCAGAGCACGGATAGCCTATTGTGTGACTTTGTGCTTAATTACAAACAATCTGTAACGACTAATTATTGTAGTTAGGAAACAGATTGATAGATGGCAATGCTCTCAAATACAAGAAATTCTGATACACTTAATTTTAAATGATATTGAAATATTGTTTATTTCGTTAAAAGATCATGATCTTTAATATCATCACAATATTTTAAACAATTGTTTTATAGTGTCGAGTTTCTAGCTTTGAAAATGGTACAGATTGCATATTATTTAATTTATAAAAGATCTTTATATTTTCTTATATGATTTAACAAATTAACTAAGTATCTTATACTTTTTTATTGCCTAAGCCCTGTAATTTTCACAACATATTTGTTCAAATAGCAATAGTAATAGTTAGGGAAGGGACCGCGCGACACGCCACTAGAGGGTGCTACACGTGTGTCGCCCATAGTCAATGGAGAGAGAAGAAAGGGTAGAGAGGAAGACGTCACAAGAGACAATGATGTCACAGTTCCACAAAGTGGCACCAGAGGGCACGTTGCTAGGCCGCCATAACAGGTGGACATTTTACTAGGCCGCCATGACGTCGTAGTTCCACGAAGTAAAACCACAAACAAAAGATCACAACGCTTTTCTAAACTCGACATCCTGCCCTGTATATTTTCTAAAAACAAAGCTTATCGAGCTGGTCAGTGGCCTTGAATATCAAACACGTAGGTCGTCAAACTGAATATCAACAATGTTAATGACCAAACTGAACTTTGAATTCTATCAGTCCCTCTGTTCTTAGTAAAACGTCTCCATACCATTATCTGTGAGCCAATAAGAGTGAAATGTTATTTAGTGATTGTATGCTTTTAATGTTAATGACGTCAGTTAAAAAGAACACACAAACATTCAACTTTGTATTTCGTATTTGACATTGTGGTTTTGTACACGTGTTACATCTCTAATGTAGAAGATACTTCAGTCCTCAAAGAATTATAAAATATGGTAAGTGTTGCTATTCTGTAATAGTGATTATATTTGTTATGTAACAAAATGACTTAATACAGAGTTTATTAACTAGATGTTAAAGTTAAATATAGAGAAACATGCGTCATATGTGTATAGTAAGTTTGCATGTTAAATAAGCGTCCTTCTCAGGATGATAAGTGATTTATCTATAAAAGGTCTGGAAAATAGCAATAATTTTCACTAAAGGAAATCTGCTTATTTCCAGTACAATTCAAATATATGTAACACTGACAACTAATGTAAAATAGCGAGAGAAGAGCTTCACCACCATGTGAACGCTAACCATCATATTGAATTTACTGTAAGTACTTGCGTACTGTGTTTTAATAAAATATGTTAACCAATCATTCTCTGTCCCCAAAATATAAATTCACTATCAAAAACCATTACTCTTCTGTATAAGAAGAAAGGGTTATAATGAATAAGCCTTAGATTATCGTCTTCTAGTAGTATCACAACTATTATGTGGTGGGCACAATTCCTGATGATATGCATGATAGCTTTGCTATCAGTAGGAATGATCATACAATACTAAAGCAATCGAAGGGACACTGTCTCTACTTTCATTGTAAACATAAAATAACTATCAATCTTCATTTCTATAATTTTCAATTACAAGAAATTGCTAATACTTCTTTACCCAAACACAATACGTAGACGACTTAGAGTGATAAATATCTCCACTACACCTCATGCATAAAGTTCAAATAGTCTTTAAGAAAACCAAATATTTTTGATCAGTTCATGAGAAAACTTAAGGTCTTTTCAGGGAATATCAATTAATAAAATAAATGTATGTATAGTGTGAAGTGCTATCGAGAAAACCAATATATGACCAAAGATTCGTAAATGTCAGGTTACAAAAACATCAACAGCCATAGTTCTTATAACAGTGAACCACTATATGCCATCTTGGAACAACTGACAAGAAACAGCGTAAAACTTTTCTAAGGGAGCAGCCGTATATGTGTGAATATTCTGGCAAACTACGTATTTCTTATTCTTTTATTTGATATAAAATAGTTCAAATTTTCCACACAGTTGTGTATGTAGCTAATGTATAAGGTAGGTTAAGGGTGCTATAATGTTCCTCTCGTCCTAATTATATACTGGACTGACTGGGTCATTCAATTAGTGTGCTACCTGAATTTTCCTGTAAAATGGAGCAAACTACATAGAAATAGATAGTGATATTTTTTCATTAGCAAGTCAAGTGATACCTCAAGGATACAGCCACCCTTATTTTGCAGTGAAAGAGACAAACATTGACATATAGGTAGTACATGCGACCTGAGAGAGATGGCATTTTAGCATTTTGTATATAGTGCTATGCTCTCTCAGTTGACTCTCTTTCTCTGCCTCTCTCAAGCTCAAGCACTCAGAATGCTAAGTAAAATTTAGCTGTTTATTTAAATAGCAAAATAATTTCCTAAGTTTAACAGTTAAAGTAACGTGTTCTTATTTGAATTTTAATTAGACTTTCATAAAGTTTCAGAATGGTTTAGAGAATTAACTATCAAGTGAAGTTGTTATTCTTTGTTTTGTGTTTACTTTTAAGCTTTGATAGACTTTGCTTTACTGAATAAATACTATTTTACTGTAATTTCATAAATTCTAAATTACTTGATATAACAGCTTGAAGGTTGATTTTAATCCTTTATTGGCATGTTCTCTGTTCTGTTTCTGGAGTTTTCATCAGTCTTTTAGAGAGTGTAAAGTCAAAAACAATTCCAAAGGTGAAAGTATCATACTAATTGTTAGTTTATTTATTTTTGAGCTTTGTGCACAAAACTAATTATAAAATGGTTTTATAACCAAATAAGTGACCCAAAATACAAGTTAAAACTATATTGAGAATAGCCTTTAAAAATAATTATTTATCGCCTTTAACGATAAAGTGATATTTGATGATTTAAAAAAAAAGTATGACATCTACGTTAAGTATACAAAAACAACATTCAAAAAATAAGTGTATATTTTATACATTCACTCTTAGAGAATTATCAACTATTTTTCAATACAACCTTTTCTTGAATTTTATTTAATCAACTGTTCTTTACAACTTGATCTATTATTTAAATATTGTTGTTGTTTTCCTTAATTATAAATAGATTTGATTCAGTTACGTTTAAGCTGTTTGTATTATTTAAAATCACGTTTCTACTTTTGGATCTGCACACCTTTTTTCGCTGTAACTTCAAAAGAAAAAAAACATTGAATATTATGGAAGATGCATTTGCACATAACACAACTTTGTAGTTTTTACTTAACTTTGATGAGAAATTATACAGTGCTACCAAAGGTAACATATACTCAAGAATTATGACAAATAATCTAAGTGGTGTCTTGATCGCATTCTTCATATATCATACAAAAAAAACTTACATGATAATGCAGTATAAAATGTTCTTAATACCTAACTATGTTTAATCTTAGGGTATATGTAACATTTGATGTATTTGTTTTTGTTTCTTTTACTCAGACTAGCTGAATTATATAGATATTTTTAAATAGAGCTAGATAGAAGAAACTTTTAAAAAATTTAATTAAATTTTCTAACATGTTTTATTATTTTATTTACTTTGATGTAATGTAAATTGTTGCGGAAAGTACTGTGCTTCTACATCTAAAAAATAAATATAAAATTATTTAGTTCTATTTCATACAATGCCAATTTTATTTAGTATGGTTTTAGTTTTTTAATAAATTAGGTTATACTTATATAATGAAGTATGATAAGCATTTTAAACGAATAGAAATATAATTACAAGTTTGCACGTTTATATGACATAATTATTCATGAGATAATCACAAAATGTTATTTACAAGAGAGAGAGATTATGAAATAAGTTACACTAGAGTGTGTTTATTGTATAAACACATCCAAGAATTGTTTTATTACAGAATTCACTTCTAGAGTAGTTATATTTAAGATATTTTATATGTTTCATACTATTCAGGAGCAATAAATGTTTGATATTATAAAAATGAATAAGAAGTTCTATACTGGAAGTGGAACATAACAATATATATGTTTTATGCGGTGATGTCTTGTATGAGTTTTTCCAAACTTCAGCGAACGTAACAGCAGAGTGAAATCTGTAAAAGATGGCCAGTGGCAGGGTGATGCGAACAATTATTGTCCAACCCCACATACCAAAAAAGTTTAATTCCACTGGACTGGCTTCCACTTTCTGCGTCTGAAAGGTGTAGATTATCCAGAAGGTGATGTTACTAATCATCAAGAATGTTACTACCTGTTTCCCAGGCTTCTGTTTATTGTGTTCGGAGAGATATGTTGACCGACAGACAACATCTGAGATGAATAACGACTGAATTATCACTTGGACCAAAGTTAGACAGCTGTTTATCAAAACTAGAAGGTTAGAAACAGAGAATACAGAAGACACAGATCCTGCTATAATTCCAAAAATAGCATATAAAAACAGCCCAAAGCCTGCAATACCAAGGAGGATGCTACTAAATTCCTCTCTTCTCTCAGGAAAATATCTTAAAGGCCTTACTTGAATAAAACCTGCAATAATTGCGATAATATTGAGTACAAGAAGAACACAAAGCGATATATCTCCTAAGAAAATCGCTAGAATTTTATACTCTTCATGATGGACTAATACAAAAAATACAATCAAGCAGATCAGACAAACTACCAACACTAATAAACCTAAGAATAATCCTTTGCTGGCTCCAACGCAATTCATCCTGGTACGTGTACGTGGACTGGAAGAATCCAAAACTCCATCGTTTTCCTGAGTTTCTACTCTAACGACTGGAGTCTTGCCTATGTTCTGCCACATGACATAAAGAATTGCCGCTCCAATCAGACTGTATTCCACGATGAAAGGGTAAAGAAAAGGAGACGAATGTGATACAATATCACCCATGATGTCAGTTTTCTGGCAGATGTTCGTGTTGTTTCTTTTAGTGCTATTATCTGAAAATTGAAATAATTAGAAAAATTATAAAGAAATTAATGTGGTATTTTCTTGACAGTCATGGAGTATCTTTCTTCAAAAACCAGAATAAAATGTAACCAACAGTAAAGATAAAATGATCCAGTTATAACACATTTTAAAACGACCTTTTGTCCATTATTAACATCTCGTCTAAAGGGTTTTATTAAACAAAAATAATAAAATTTCAGTGAGATATTTGTAATTATAGTATTTTGCATGAAATTATCATTTCATTTTTTTTATGATTCTATAAAAAATGCTATACTCATTCAGTAAAAATGTTTAACTCGACTTAACTCGATACTTAGCCAACTTCTGTTTCTTTTTCTTTTTTGGTTTCTTTAATTTTAAGTTTGCTTCTAGTTAACCACAAAGCTACACGATGGGCTATCTGTGCTCTGCTCACCATGGTTTCTAGCATTATAAGTCCGCAGATATACTGATGTGTCACAGGAGGGCTTAAATTTAAGAATAGCAAAAGTTATTCGTTCTTCACTTTATACATTAAACACAAAGTAAATATTTAGCATGTATGAAACGATACAATAATTTGAACATGATTTTTTTTCATGTTACAGTTAAGTTTTTGTTCATTCAATTAAGCATTATTCGTTACCTTTGATTGGAACGATCAACTCTTCTAGAAGATTTGTCTGCTCACTTTTTATTAGTTCTTCAGAAATTTCGTAAAGAGTTTCTTTGCCCAGCGTTCTTAGCCATACACAAAGGTTTGTAGCAACCATATGCATTAAGCCAAATCTAGCCACTGTCTTGAATTTCTGTATGTTCAGCTGAAAATGAACAACAGGTTTTTATAATTATTAATGGAACAGCACCAGAACACTTTCAATTTTTCTAATATAATTGTGACTTTTAAAATTAAACTGTTGTAAAAACCGAGAAAGTCCAAGAAATGTTAAAAAAGCGTTTAGTGTAATAAGCCACTGATTCTAGTTTAATGATTAACAATGATGACGGATAAATTAATTCACAAAAAAATATTTTAAAACGTATGCTCTATAGCATCATTTATATGTATGCCAAAAAGTTATGAAAAAAGTAATAAGCCTGGTTGTCATTTCTGGTTTTAGTAAATCCACTGATCCATTTAATAAATCTGTTTGTTTTTCATGAAATAATAACATATCGATCAAAATATTAAAAATATTCAAATATTTGAGATTAAACATTTAGTTAAACTGATGAAACATTTATAAAAATCATTATGAAATATTTTTAGCAAATAAATTTTATTTATTTCTTAATAATTCACATAAAATATTCAATGTTATTCACATATAGATATAACATTGTTGTCCATCACAATTCGTCGGCTTTCATACTGTTGACCAGGGCTAAAAGAAGTCGTGGTTCTATAACACTGGTCTCTAAAATATTGAAAAATCTCTTTCAAAACCAGGATATAGAGCTATGAAAATGATTTGTGATTCATAATTGTTTACGGTAGAGATGTCAATTGTTGTCAAGCTACTCTAACTGATAAAGGTTCTTTACTAATTCGTTGCTTGTTAAATATAATAACAATGGCCAGCGATATAAAAGTCTACAATAAATTATGAGAATTGCGTCGGTTAAACATCGTCTACTTACCCTGCAATTCACAAATATAAAATACATTTGGAAGAAGGTGAAGATCATCTGGAAAACAGGATTCACGCCCAAAAGAACACTGTAACATGGGGACGAAACTGGGACCTCGAAGAATTTCCCAAATTCTAGTCCGTTGTAAATCATTGTTCCTAGTCCAAATGCTGGAAACACACATTGGATTATTCTTTAATTTCAAACTTTTGTTTCTTATTAACATCTTCTAATCCACACGTACAGTATGCTTTGTACATTCATTCGCATACTCTATTATGTTTCATTCAAGGTTTTGTTCTGTAACTGCAAAATTTATTTTTCTGACAAGATAGATGTTTTCTAATCACACACACACACACACAAAATTTCTTAAAGAAATATTTAAAATAATATGCAACAGTTTTTTTTTAAATTACAAAAATAACGATATTGGCCAAACGTCAATAAAACCTACGTAAAACAAAAAAAAAGAGATAGAAATCACGAGTGTTTCGAATTTCGTTTATTATGATATGATATAACACATTTTCAAACTGATGTATAGATGTTGACATAAAAGGTATAAATAAACAAATAAACCTTAGCAATTCGAACTGGAATTATGCAAAAAATTATACAGAGGTATAATATTCTGTATTATTTTGTAATCGTATTCTTACACGACTTAGTTTCGATTAAAATAATCTATTCAGTAAATATGAATTATATCACTTGCTACAGGCTAAAACTAGATGTCAGTTTGTAGTAACTGAATTTTAATAATTCCACTAACTTTTACACGAAGTGTAAATTTTATGAACTGTAATAATAAATACTCAAATTTTAAAGTTTTCGCTCTGAAATAAAAGTATTTTATTAATTTTGTGTGTTTGTTGTTAAGCACAAAGCTACACCGGGTTTTTAGCCTTAAGACTTGCCGTTGGGCCACTGTGAGTATTTCATTAAGTAGATTCTCTGTACTAAGTCAAGACGAAAAAAATACAAAATTTAACATTGAAAATTATACAATGCTATAAAATAATTAAAAATAGATCACTATTTAATTCGACGAGCTTCTTTGAAAAAACAACTCAAACTAAAATTGTTTGAAAAATGCACAATAATTACTGTAATCACCTATTGCTCCAATCCTCAAGAACAAGCTCCCGTGGCTTTTTTCACTGTATGAGTTATGGGTATTATGGCTTTTGGGGTCCTCTGTTTCTCGTCTGAGGCCAATTTTCCTTAAACCGTTCATTATAGCGGAGTTCATAATTCTCCCCACGGTGTAGTGTGACTGTTTGGCGTCATGTACGATCTTGTTTACTTGTACAGTTGCATACTTAATGTGTAGCAGACACACAATCAATAGAGACATAATAATAATTCATATTTGTTTCCACGTTCAATGATTAGAAGTATGATCAATAGAAAGAAAGCTTTGTTGTCTAAATTCATAAAAATTTCTACATAATTTTTATTTCTTTTAGGGTTTTTACCTGTACCTCTATGCAGGCAGTTTGGTATTTCTGTTGTTTATCAACATTTACTCTGATATACTAACTGGATGTAGAATTGTAAATTTATTAAAACAATTATATATATATATATATATACATTAATTAAGGTTAATCTATGTAACAATGGTTAATTGTACCGTGTCATCATCCCAGAAAAAAAGCAGTATTCATTGTTTTCATAGTCTAAAGTTAATTCATAAATTATATGATAATTTACGTACACGTTTAATCGCAAGAACACGATAATCTGTCCACAATAGGCATTGCTATCTATCTAATTTCAAGGAAAAACAACTCACCTCGAAATAAAAGAAAGGAACTTCCGAAGTGACGACCTCAGATGTGAATAAAGTGATACAAACGACAACCAGCAGTTGCGCATAAATAGAACTCAGTATGATGAACTGCTGGGTTCTGTATCAACACAAAAGTGCATTGTTATAATTATTCAGAGATTAATAATAAATCATTAGTGATGTTTACATAAAAATAAAGTAATTTAACAGCTATTTATATTTAGTGTGCACAAACACTTATATTTGAAAAACGATAAACTGTATTCGCTGGGCATTTTATTAGATTCCCTCTACACACACAATACTTCAGTTATTTGCACACACAAAAGAAATTGATTATGTGATTTATAAAGTGATTTATTATCTCTATAAATGAATATATTTAGTTATATCGAGATTTGTCTGCGAGACAGTGGATAAGAACAAGGATCTCTGTGACATTCACAGGGGTGTGCTAGTAGGTGCTCATCTAGCAAGAAAATATTTGTTCAATTTATTTTATTTGGTTAGCTATTAAAAGAAATATGGCAGTAAAATCTATCAATAATGGCAGTTAGAAGGATATACGTTAGTCTCAAGGGAAATTGTAACTACCAAATATTGCTAACAGATTGAAGGAAAAAGAAATTGTACAGACTTTCATTGTAAAGCGTAACGGAAGTCTGACTGTAGCTCAGTTAATTGATTCCTCCCACAGAGATCATGATTCAACTGTCTAAACCTTAGCAATTAGAAACAGTAACAGAAGCTGTCATATAGCAGTCAAAAGCCATACTATAATTGTTTTTTATCCCACAAAACAGGGCTTCAGTGCTTTTTTTGAGCACATATTATAAGCAGTTAATGTTTAGAGACAACAGCTGTTGGGTCAAGTTTCAACTATTCTTGGAGAGAAGAACTTGACCTTGATTGTCTTGACCTGAAAGGCTGTTGTGTGTTATTAAGCACAAAGCTACACAGAGGGCTATCTGTGCTCTGCCCACCACGACATACAGCTGCGATAGACACTGGGGGGGGGGGCACCTGAAAGGCAGTTTAATGGATGTTGTGTAGACATTTTTCATGGCAGAGGTTGCTTTCTTTGACTCCTTTAGAAGAGTGAATAAACCCCAAAGCACTCGAACGTTGTCTTTGGTCGTGCCCATTCAAACAATGCTACATTTCCTCCTTGATCAACAAAACACGATGTAGCTATTCTTTGTAATCGTATCGATTGAAATTGGTATGTAGAGTATGAAAACGACATCGAACATCATTTATCACCCCAATCACTGGCTCTCATTTCCGAGTGAGCGCTGTGGGAATACATTTGAGCTTCACATTCGCAATTATAATCATGCAAGCTGAGGTAGCCGTCCTTTGTCGGGATTATGAATTTAAAAAATGTGAGGTAGATATGATAAATAACACAAAAATCCTATCTTTCATACAATTTATTTATAACATAACTTATTATCACATTATTCATTATTACCTCACCAAATGTTGTGGATAAGCTTTAACAACTCAATATGTGTATTCTTAAAACATGGTATACACTGTGCGATGGTCAGGGCGACTTTCTAGGAAGAGATAGCGGCCAAAATAGTGGCGGTAGGGGTGCTTTCAGTTACACGCTTTTAACATACAGCTTTTAATGTTCTCTGACAGTATTTAAAGTGATTAGTTAATTAACAGTCATTGGCTGCAGAGGTGTCTTACGGGCCGAAGTTGAAAGGTCACGGGTCAAAGTAGGAAGTTGGTATAACTCAAGAAATGGTTCTTCATTTCAGCCTTACTGCGGATGTTGGAGTAGAAACTTCAGCTGATTTTATGTATTATTGCAATAGTGGAGGCCATTTTTTCATTTCATTCCCCCCATAGAGAGTGCCAGCGCACTCCCTGAGATATTTAAGACGTTTTTGTGCTCTCACCTCACACTGTGTGTATGCTGTGTTACAGAAAATTTAATAACTTTTTATTGAAAGTACGTGGCACCATCTATGAATCTAGTTAACGTTAACTTACATCAAAAATAATAAATGCTCAATAACAGCAATAATGGGGTTAGAGGGTGATGTGAACCCCCAAATGACATGCCTCTTGTTCCAAACTATCATCCCACAAAGCTTAGTTGAGGTTGGCTCAGTGTCCTAGGAGTAGCTAGATAACAGATAAACAGACAGACACACATATTTTTGTGCTTTATATATATATAGATGCTGATATCTGTGAACCAATTGCAAGCTTCCACTAATGGCTATATAATCGAACAAAACACCTTCAGGCGTAAAAGGAATTTGAATCACCTAAGTTAATACTATTAGCTCGCTAGAAAGTGATCCAACCCGATAATAAGTGTGGGGGTTCTAATAAGAAAGGAAACCAGAGTATAGATATAATAAAGAACTAGTCAGTACATAAACAATATGTGTATGTACATATACAGTCTTCTTATTTGAAACAAATCAAAGGTGCCGTTTAGTTAAATGTTTTGGAAATGAAACAGAAAATATTATTTTTAAACATTATGAACATCAAGTATTTTGTATATTTAGAGTTATAATTATATATATATATATATGTAATAGTTCACAAACTTAAGTTTATAAAAATACAACTGTTTCTGTCAACTATACGCAATGATATAGTAAAACTCAAACACGGACTAAAAATCTCTACCTGGTCTTCTTCTTTCATATGTCATCAGAGATATATATCTTTTTTAAATAACTCATGGAATTTCTCTTTAATAACGTTGAAATGAGACAACGTTATGAATAATGTCATAAAAGAGAAATAAGGTTAAAATTTGAACAGTAAACACTATACGCTATGTGAATTACACCATAAACTTTTAAATAATTAGGTCCTTCTAAAAATGCGATGTCGTCAACGTATTTCAACAGCGTTGTATTTGACGTTTGTAAAAACGGAGATCTGCCAACATTTGAAAGTAATAGCTGAGTAATTTTGTTTCCTTAATACTTCTATTTATTTTTAAATGTTTCTTAGTTGTAAGTCTTGAATATTTACGATACAAAAGTTTGATTGAACTCTGCATTACTTGAAACAAGATTTAGCTCATAATGTAGAAGAAAGTGTGTGTGTGTTTTTTTTTCTTATACCAAAGCCACATCAGGCTACCTGCTGTGTCAATCGAGGCTAATCGAACCCCGATGTTAACTTATCGCTGTCCAACCGGGAGTCACAGTAGAATGAATTTAAATAAAATACTTGAGTAAAAAAAGAGATTGCTGAACATGTGTGTTTTAAAAATATATCTACTTGTAATTTAGATGGTTTGATTGGCAAATATTTAAGAATAAGAAATATATACAGTACTTGTAATTATAAACCAAACTTAACAAACCTTTCATCTTGAAATTCAAGTTTTCAGAAAATTAGATAATATATAAAAAAGTATATCTTTTTTTTTAATAGCTGCAAGACAGAACAGGAAGAGCATGCCATTAATATGAACCGGAAAAAAGATTATCTCGTTAGTTCGGTAGTTCTTCATGGTTGTGCGTTTCAAAACATCCCTCCCTCTCTGTATACATATATATATAGGGTGTATAAAATGAAAGACATACTTGAGCGATCGGTCAGCCACCTTTTAATGTGTAATAGGTTCATACTCTCCTTATCTCATAATGCCCAAGACGGTAAATTTTAATCAAGTATTTTAAATTGTAAAAATCTACTAATATGACAATTTTATCTTGTATTATTTAAATCATTCCAAAGAATAGCACAGTTTATATAAAAGAAAGTACAACAAATTTTGTAAAGGAATTTCACATGTCTGTATAGTCATTTATATCTCTCTTTTTATCTATCTAGTTAAGTACATCTATCTATGTAGAAAGTATATATATATACGTACTAAAACAATATTGGATCAGTTTTCTCACACAAATTAACTGTACTTAACAACTATTTTTGTTGATCAAATGCAATTCTTGCGAAAAAATCACGAATATCGGTGGGAGAAGGTATAGAAGGATTTGTTTCTTTGTTTCACAATTTTCGCACAAAGCTATACAGAGAGCTCTCTAAATAAAGCTTCCACTAATTTTTAACTGGTAGACTAGAGAGAAATGAACCAGTCAATACCAGCCTCCGCCAGTTCTACAATTACTCTAGTTTGATTGAATAATGGAATTTGGTTGTCACTTTCATAGGATACTCTCAGACCTAAATGCAGAGAGCGTTTTTGTGCCAATTACGCGGCTTATCATCTTATATAATTGTGGAACGACATTTACAATAACCATAACTTACCACATTAGTATTTCACACGTTAAATACCTAATCTCAATATTTTCCATCACAAGCTAGGGCTTATGGTCTCTGTTTGTAGATCTATTATCACTGTTAATCCTACACATGCCACCTGTTGTTTGTATTAAAATATATCCTAGTTAATGAACCAGATCTCAAGGACATAAATTACAGTTATGTTTGTTACCCCACGATTTATACTAACTTTTTCTTTCAGCGATCAGCACAATTTTTGTCTTCATCCATTACAAATATTTTAGGAAAACTAAACAATTATTTTAATTTTGGAGCTGTTTACTAACGTTAATGGTAAATATTGACCTTATAGACTTATTGACCAAGATCTTTTCCTGATTTAGAATAAATAAGAAATATCAAACGTATCAGGTCAGTTATGTAGAGGGCAAAGCTTTATAGGTGAAAGTGTTTTTGTGTGTTATGTTTTAATGAGATGCATTAGAGAACAATTAGAAAAGGTGCCAGTGCCATGTGCTGCATCTATTTAGCTGCTTTTATGAGGATAGCGGGACGGCGTGCGTGTGCGTCAGTTCCTAGCAGTAACAAATAAACAAAAAGTTGATTGGGTATGAAACTTTTAAAAATGAGAAAATCAATAAAGTAAGGGTTTTCGCAGCCTCTCTTAAGCATACCCCAAACCCTCTGAAAATTATATTGTGATTAGAGGTAGAGAAGTTGGCAAATCCTTCTTACGGAGAAACAATCGAACACATAGAAACACAATCTGCCTTATAAGATAGGTTTACATGCATATAATAAGAAAACGTAATAACAGCCGCTAAATGTTGACCTTATCGATCACAAAAGTTAATCAACTACTGATTATTAAATACA